ATGGCGCCAATCCCCTATTCTCCCCTCAACATGCACTGTTCTGACTGCATGTCTGTTCTAGCAACTCTACACACAGTTTATCAGCCTAACTGCAAGACATTAACAAGACAGGTGCCAACTGTTAAGTTGTGGGTAAACCTATCAGACGACACAGCAATTCTTCAGACAGCTCTTGTTTATTCACAGGCCAGAACAGAACTGAACTGAAGGCCTCAGTCAGCCTGCTTATATAGAGCTCAACTACATGGCAACAGTAACAACTTTCTGTAACTATCCAATCACTGAATGTCACTTTCAATTCCTTATTTGCATATGCGGACCTGAGTGAAAACTATCTACAGTATCCCCCTGCTGGCCCAGGGTGAGAACTTCAGTACGTAACACCAACAACAGCCCTGAAGGTTCCTCAATTTGTTAAGTGATGCTGGAGGTTATGAGGGACATTTGGCTCAGCAAAGAGAGGTAGGATCTGGAGTTCAAAACCTGGACTCACATCTTAGCCATGAACTTACTGAGCTGTCCTTGTTTAAAAAAAAAAATGTAACTCAGAGCCAAAGTAGAAGAGATGAGGAAGATTTGCTATACTTTTCGTTTACTTCAAAGCAGCCGCTCCTTATTGAGGAGGGTTCTTCATTTGATCAGGGCAACAGCTCCAGGGCCATGGTTCCCAATGTAGGGGTGCAATTTGATTTTTAGGGGGCGGATTTGGAAGCTTGTGTAGACCAAATTAATAGCCTTTTAGGCTTCCTCCACATGAATAGGAGTTCACTTTTTGAGTAATAAGAATTATATGTCACGGGGGGGGGGGGGAATCAGGATTTTAGAGATGCTTAGGTAAAAGGTAAAGGTAAAGGGACCCCTGACCATTTGGTCCAGTCGTGACCGACTCCGGGGTTGCGGCGCTCATCTCACTTTATTGGCCGAGGGAGCCGGCGTACAGCTTCCGGGTCATGTGGCCAGCATGACTAAGCCGCTTCTGGAGAACCAGAGCAGCACACGGAAACGCCGTTTACCTTCCCACCGGAGTGGTACCTATTTATCTACTTGCACTTTGACGTGCTTTCAAACTGCTAGGTGGGCAGGAGCAGGGACCGAGCAACAGGAGCTCACCCTGTCATGGGGATTTGAACCACTGACCTTCTGATCAGGAAGTCCTAGGCTCTGTGGTTTAACCCACAGCGCCACCCGTGTCCCATGCTTAGGTGGGGCATAGCAAAAAAAAAAAGGTTGGGAACCACTAGGGAAGGTGTGTTTAACCCTTCAATTTAACCACACAGAGATGCTATTACCCTATGGGGGGGGCAGTGACAAGAGGTCTTCCCCTACAATTTGGCTAATAGTTTGAGCGATGGGGTTTACATTGACAAAATGGTACTAGGGAAGGGTTAAATACTACCAGTACCATTTCCCAGATCACAGTAGGGACACACGAACCCTGGAAGTTTCAAAGTACAGTGGTACCTCGGGTTAATTACTTAATTCATTCCAGAGGTCTGTTCTTAACCTGAAACTGTTCTTAACCTGAAGCACCACTTTAGCTAATGGGGCCTCCTGCTGCTGCTGTGCCGCCGGAGCACGATTTCTGTTCTCATCCTGAAGCAAAGTTGTTAACCTGAAGCACTATTTCTGGGTTAGCGGAGTCTGTAACCTGAAGCGTATGTAATCTGAAGTGTATGTAACCCGAGGTACCACTGTAAAGAAAAATATATTGGGATACCCAATCACAGACCTCCCATGTAACATGTACTTTGGTCCTCCACTTCCATTCCCTGTATTCAGTGGAAGCGGCAATCCACCTCACAGACTTTTACATTTCCCTAGCCCAAGGAAATAAACTAATTAAACTCTGCATAAAATATATATCAATAAATTAATGGTAGCAAATGTGTGCACCTTACTGCGCAGAAACAGTGGGATAATGGAAGAATGCAAACATATGAATGAAACAAGCTGGTGTGTACAAGTGATGGATGAGATAATTAATGGAAATATGGTCCTTCGTCAGCGCTACGTCCAATTTTCCCTTTCACCGACTTCTTTTTCCCACACTGCCCATTTACCACAGTCTGAAATCAGAATGCTATTTCTCTACATACAAAGTTAAGTACAAGTGAATTTAAAACACAGAGGTATAAAATCCACAACTGATACAGTACACTGAACAGAAGCACTGCTAACCTGCTGCACAGTTGCCATCAAACTTTAGGCTGAAAGCTCTTTGAGACAGGGACTTGTTCTGTGTTTGAGGCTTCTGCTGTAAAGAGGCACTGATGTCAGCACTACCTCCAAATGGTTTATCTATGGGAGCACAGATCTCTAAGAGATGTGAGGTTGCCAAGATTTAAGTCACGTTTATATTTGGAACGATAAACTGTAAGGTTGGAATAGGGTCAGAAGTTAATGTAATCCTCTGCCCAAGCCCAATACTATTAAAAGGTCCTTAGAAAACCAATACCACCAAACAAATGAAAAACAGGTTGTAGGTGAATGCAACACAAGTGACTGTGGACTCCCATGTTCCTTCCATCCTTAGCTTCCCATTCATTACTTATTTGCTGCCAATGGTGAAATGACAGGGACCAGGAAAATACTTAGGTAGTGCAGCACCAATAACTTCTCCCCCCCCCAAACCCGCTGAAAATGCTCTCCATTGGGACTTCAGGAGCCAAGGACGTCCCAAGGCTGACACCAGAAGCAAAAAGGACACACACAGCATCAAAGCCGTGTATGAATGTGTTGTTACAATGCCTCGTTGCACATCATCACAAGACAACAGGTGGCACCATAAATGTTTTCCGAGCCACCACCAGATTTCGCCGATAACAAGATTATTAAATCATTAAAAATTCTTCCTTCAACTAAGGGGATAGGCAATGAAGAGTCTCAACAACCAACCCCATTAACAAACATCACGGCTGCTATACAAGGCAAGCTTATGCCGAGTTTAAGCACATTGTAGGAGTTCCCAAAAGAGAACTTCTACTAATACAAAATTTTCAAAGTTTGTCCAAACCATGCCTAAAATTAATTAATAAGTATAGTAATTAATGTTCATACATATACATATTCCATAGCGGTTTATGTTGCAGATCGCAAGCACTATCTGGTTAGTACTTGGCGGCAACCTGAAAAACAATGCAAACGTTAGAATTTTCATTCTTTCCTATATGGGCAAGTTATCACGTTATAACAAACTGAACTGATGCTTAGAAGCCTATATATTGTAATAGATGAAGAAACCTACATATTCGTGTTCCTATAAATATACGGTAATTCCCACAGATAGGCAGAATGAATACATGATACAAGGAAATGTTTTTCTTTTAAGAAAATTTGTTTTGTTCCATGCAACCACCAATCATCCTTCTAGGATCTGTGAATCGGCAGCACTTCATAATAGGCTTGAAGTGTTAATCTGGGTAGTTTACTGACTTAATTCTTTCCCAAACAGGTTCCTAGCCTCAAGAGCATGGGTAGGCAAACTAAGGCCCAGGGGCCGGATCTGGCCCAATCGCTTTCTAAATCTGGCCCACGGACGGTCCAGGAATCAGCGTGTTTTTACATTAGTAGAATGTGTCCTTTTATTTAAAATGCATCTCTGGGTTATTTGTGGGGCATAGGAATTCATTCTCTTCTCTCCCCCCCCCCCGAAAAAAAAATATAGTCCGGCCCTCCACAAGGTTTGAAAGAGAGTAGACCCCTGATGAAAAGGTTTGCTGACCCCTGCTCAAGAGTAACCATCTTTCTTTATTTCAGAGCTGTGTAGCAAAACAACAACAGCTCCGAAGAGTCTTATGGAACCTTAAATATTAACAATATCATTCCGGCACTAAGGTTTTGTGGACTAGTCTACTTCAAGAAAAAGCAAAGTTTCCTCCAACAAAATGCCTAAGGTCCTACTACACTGAGTTTTGACTGTTTATCACCCTGCAAAAAAGACTGTGAACAGAAATGCTGTAGGCGTTATAAATTCACAGGCTACCTATCCATTATAAGGTTGTAATATTCAAATCACACACAGGGAGGTTTAAATTGAGTAGACAGTCTATAAGTGGCATGTGGTGGTTAAGACATAAAGCATGGCTTAATACCTCAAACTTACAAGGACTCACAAGTATTTCAAGGAAATTACTTATGTTATGAGATATACAATCCTATGAGATATGCAACCCTACCTAGGAGTGTTTTCCACTGAACAGTATGGGCTTGCTTCTGAGTAAGCATATGCGGTTGAACCATAAATGGGCAACACAATACAGTACAACAATCTCGAACGATGGAAATCGCTCGCGCTGCTTTATTATTGAGTTCAACCATTTACCGATATTGCCAAAGCGCATCGCCAACTTAATTTGCGTGCTTTGCCACGCTTTGCTTTTTTTGACTACGACCTTTCCCCAAGGTGGCTCTGAATTAAGATTTGCCCAAGTGCAAGTTCTCTGCATCTTAACTCATCGGGAAAGAATGCGCTCGATACGTTATCTATTAATCAGAGCGCCTGGCTTGCTTTTTTTCTTTAAAGGAGTACTCTGCTTTTAATGTGGGGAGTCGGGGGGCAACTCGGTTACGGGGAGAAAGCGCACGACCACAAGAGAGTAAAGGAAGGAGAAAACACAGTGTTCGCCTCCCATGTTTCCCCCCCGCACCAACCATCCCTCTTTCCCCGTTCAAACTAAGGTCAAACTTAGTTGCTTCGGAGAACCTTCGGCGCGCCTTTCGTTTTCCAAGCGTTGCGCAACCTCTCCAAGCCCCCAAAGCGGACGGAGAGAACAGCTTCGGTGTCAACGCGTTTTAAGGGACGGGCTGGTGGTTGGGTGGCAGGGATTGGGGGGGGGGTCCGAAAAGCTCTACGGCTGCCCTGCTTGAAAGCACTTCCCCCCCCCCTTCCCCAAAAACTTTTTCCAGGGCTCCCCGGCTAAGCCCATGACGCACGCCGCCCCTGCGCTCCGAAGGGAAAGCCCTGGAGCTTTTGGCCCGTCCGCCTCCCCTCCGGCAGGTACCTCTTCCTCCTGCAGGTTGGGCTCGGCGGGGCTGTGCTCCTGCTCGCCTTTGGCGCTGTTCATGGTTCCCTCCGCCGGTCCGGAGCGCCCTGGCCCGCCGCCGCCTCGCCTCTCCCGTCCGCGGCGCGTCTGGGCTGAGGTGCCGGGCAGGCGAGCGCGCCGAGGCGAGGCGAAGAAGCAGCAGCGGGGCTCTCGCCCTGGCCACCAGCAGCGGCAGCAGCTGCTTCAGCAGCATGCAGGGCTTCCCCGGCGGCGAGAGAGACCCCGAGCGAGCCGCGTGAGGGGCGGGAAAGAGGCGGCGGCGGCGCGCGGCGGCTTCTTTTCCGTGGAAGGAAGTCGTGAGGGGAAGAGCCGCGAGCTCCTCGCCTGCGCGCCTGGCTCTGGTTGGCGGGGAAGGTGGCTCGCGCGCCTGGCGCCCACTCCCTGGGACGAGGTGGGAGGGAGCGGAGGAGGAAGAGGGGGGTGTTGGGGGGTGTCGACTAATCGCGAGGGAGAGGGAGGAAGCCCCCTCAGCAACCCTCTGGCCCGAGCACGTGAAGAGAGGCGGGTCAGAAAGCAAGGCGTCGAGGCTTGGGGAAGGAAGGAGGAGCTTGGCGGGGTGATGACTCCCAAACCCAATGGCAAATGACAAGTGGTCGTGGGGTGAACTTGCTTTGCCGGGGGACCCACGAGGGGCATCTAGTCCAGCCCCCTGAGACGCAGGAATCTTTCGCCCCTCGTGGCGTCCGTCTGTCTCTGGCGACAATGGAAAAGTGTGCGCCTTTGGGGGTGAAGTCAGACAGTTGGAAGGAGCCAACGCCCCTTCAAACCACCACCACCCCTAAAATGTTTGAGGGGGCCACAGTTGGGATACAGTGGAACCTCAAGTTGCAATTGTGATCCGTTCGGGGGGCACATTCGCAACTCGCAGCGTTCGCAACCCGCAGCGCTGCGTCTGCGCACGTGCGGGTCGCGGTTTGGCAATTCTGTGCATGCGCAAAGCGTGATTTGGTGTTTCTGCGCATGTGTGAGCGCCGAAACCCAGAAGTAACCCATTCCGGTACTTCCGGGTTTGGCGCGGTGCGCAACCCGAAATCGCGTAACCTGAAGCGTCTGTAACCCGAGGTACCACTGTACTGAATACAGTTCTGGTTGCCTAACATCCAAAAGGGTATTTGTACGCTTGGGAAAGGTTCAGAAAAGGGCAGCCAAAATGATCGATGGGGTGGAGCAACCCCCCCCCCCATGAGGAAAGGTGGCAGCCTTTGGGACTTCCTGGTTTATAGAAAAAAGCAAGTGAGAGGTGACATGATAGAAGTTTATAAAATAATGCATGTGAGAGAGAAAGTGGATAGAAAATGGTTTTAACCCTCTCTCAAAACACTGAAACTTGTGGAAGGTGAATTTTGGAAGATTTGGGATAGATAAAATAAAGTACTTCACGTAGCACATCGTTAAAACTATGGAAGTTTCTCCCACAGGAGGCAGTGATGGATGACTTTTAAGAATATTACACGAATTCATGGAGAAAAAAGCTATTGATGGCTACCAGCCACGTATAGTAAAAGCTATGGTTTTCCCAGTAGTGATGTATGGAAGTGAGAGCTGGACCATAAAGAAAGCTGATCTCCGAAGAATTGATGCTTTTGAATTATGGTGCTGGAGGAGACTCTGGAGAGTCCCATGGACTGCAAGAAGAACGAACCTCTCCATTCTGAAGGAAATTAGCCCTGAGTGCTCACTGGAAGGACAGATCGTGAAGCTGAGGCTCCAATACTTTGGCCACCTCATGAGAAGAGAAGACTCCCTGGAAAAGACCCTGATGTTGGGAAAGATGGAGGGCACAAGGAGAAGGGGACGACAGAGGACGAGATGGTTGGACAGTGTTCTCGAAGCTACCAGCATGAGTTTGACCAAACTGCGGGAGGCAGTGGAAGACAGGAGGGCCTGGCGTGCTCTGGTCCAGGGGGTCACGAAGAGTTGGATATGACTAAACAACAACAACAATCAGTCCCTGGAAACTGCCAGAGGGGCGAGGGCTCTTGTGCATGGATCCTGCTTGTACATTTCCCACAGGCACCTGGGAGGTCACTGTGAGAACAGGATGCTGGACTCGATGGGCCATTGGCCTGATCCAGCAGGTTGGTTCTTCTTACGCAGATGATTTCCCCTATTAATTATCATTACAAGCACAGATAAATAAATCAGCCCACCAGTTTGCATCAAATCCAAAAGTCATTAGATCTAGGAAGGCTTCACGCTAAGGCTGATCAACATGATACCTGCCTCATGTCACTAAAAATAAGTCTGAAGATCAGAAAGGGTTTATAATGGTTCTAACATTTCTAAAGGCACAGCTCACTGCTGACAGTACAGCGCAGCACACAAGTGGCTCCTTTGAAGCCGTTTCAATCTGTTGAATCAGTGTGTGAAGGAGGCTGCGTCTTCATATCTTTGACTTTTATTTTTATGACAGTAGTTAAAAGAACCACATCCCAGAAAATCACTAGAATATCTATGTTAATTTCAAACACACATACATGCCCCACAATATTTTGACATTATGGACCCAAAAGAGTGCTAAAATAATATATTTTAGGGTCAAACTAGAAGTGATATATGAGAGCTATGTAAAAGGAATTTCCAATTTTTTTTTCTTTTGCAAAACGCAGCCGAGGGGAAGGGCACAATCCAGACCTGGGCTTATGCAATGAGGAGAGTTCTTAACCTTTCCTTCCATACTGTTTTCCCGCTGAAACCCCAAGCTGTTCTTTTTTCCCTTATTTGAAAAATAAATAAATATGGGCAACACAAGTTTTCTCAGTAAGGGCAAAATAGCACTGCGTAGGGTTTGGGGGTGGGGAGAGATGCGAGGAAATTATGCAGAGGAGGGGAATCTTACAGGCCTGCCATCCTGTGCTTTGTACATATTTCAGATAAGGGTCCTTCATGGCAGACTTTCAGAAAGGAAAAACAACATGGGCATTCCAGTCACAGAACTTTTGCATCACATCCAGCTTGGTGTTTAGACTCTGTTTCAGAGCGGGGGGGGGGGGGGAATCCTAGTTGTGGTAATGTAAGATAGCAGGAACACAGAGACACACTAAGCAAATAACACACCACAGACTGTTTCTGCTAGGCATTACGAGGCCAACCAAGTAAGAAGACAGCATCATGTCTCTTTTTACAAATGAGTGGCTCTTGGGTACTAGAGGTAACACAGTACCTATCACCTATGCTTCATTTTCTAGTAAAGTGGTACCTCAGGTTAAGTACAGTGGTACCTCGGGTTACATACACTTCAGGTTACATATGCTTCAGATTACAGACTCTGCTAATCCAGAAATAGTACCTCGGGTTAAGAACTTTGCTTCAGGATAAGAACAGAAATCTTGTGGCTGCAGCAGGAGGCCCCATTAGCTAAAGTGGTACCTCAGGTTAAGAACAGTTTCAGGTTAAGAACAGACCTCCAGAACGAATTAAGTTCTTAACCCGATGTACCACTGTACTTAATTCGTTCCGGATGTCCGTTCTTAACCTGAAACTGTTCTTAACCTGAAGCACCACTTTAGCTAATGGGGCCTCCTGCTGCTGCCATGCCGCCGGAGCACGATTTCTGTTCTCATCTTGAAGCAAAGTTCTTAAGCTGAGGCAATATTTCTGGGTTAGCGGACTCTGTAACCTAAAGCATGTGTAACCTGAAGCGTATGTAACCTGAAGCGTATGTAACCCAAGGTACCACTGTACTATCAGTTAGGAATATTTGGTACCTTAGACCCAGGATGTGCAGCTTTTACTCTGCCAATGGCCACAGTGAAAGGAGGGCATAATTCTTGCTTTCTGGCACCCTCTTTTCTATCTCTTTCTGCAACCCCTCATCAGACAGCCAGGGGTGGGACAGATTGCCAGAGGTCTTAACTAAACAGCCTGCAAAAAGGGTTTTGACATTAGGCCGAAAGCCTCGTGCAACCTAATGCCACAGGTTATACACCTCTGTCCTATACAGTGTGGTTTCCAATCTGTGTTCCAGTGAACCCTGGGTTTCTTTAGAGAACTTAATAATGTCTTTGTCGCTTAGGCCACTTCTGGCAGATGAATTTTGCTAAAAGACAGTTTGCCCACCGCCACCACCCAACTTTCGCTGAATATGCTGGTTTGTTTTCTTTTTTAACATAGGTCCCACTTTTTCCCCCTGGAGAAGAAAATTTCAAAACAGCTTACATCAATGAACTTGTACATGCAACAGAACCAAATCCACAAAGATACATTAAGCCGCCGAAAAATGCCAACATCATAAAAAAACAAAATATTTCCAAATCAACAAAAACAGTGACTCATCAAACCCCCCAAAACCAAGTGAAGACGTAGAGAGAGAGACAAAGAACCAATTTGTTCATAATTAGAAGAGGGCAGCAATATTTGAACATTACGTATTGGGAAGAGCCTTTTACCCCAAGAACACTGTCAGTGCACAACACACAGGGACAGTGATTTTCCCCCAGAATAAGATGGAAGTGGGTGGTGTTTGTTTCCTCCCTGTCACCTGAAACACTAAGATTGAAGGAGTCATCTGTCTATCAGTTTGTGCTTGATGGCTTTATGGGCCTGCTGTTCCTATTTTTCTGGCTATCCTTGGAGCACCGTGCATAAAGGACAAGGTGCCAGACAGCATGAAGGGGGGAGGGGGAGGCATCTGATTCTACCTTTCTTTAGGAGAAACCCCTGTCAACCTGCACACAACTTTTCTCTTCAGGGATGAGATGTGCCACACTGCAAAGCATTACAGAAATGCCATGGAATAGCCCATATATGGCAGTCAAGAACAAGAAAACGACTGGAGTTTTCCTTAGCAGCTGTAAGGCAGCGTCTCTTTTTAGCTTTGCTTGACTTTTGCCAGTATTTATATAATTGCCAAACACTTGTCCAGTAAGTTATGGTATTTACCTTAAAAGAGCTGGGATCCTTCCCAGGCTCTGTCAGAACAAATCTCCTTGCAATCTACTTTCCTTCTCTCTCCCAGATAGCTGCTGGAGTAGGTTCACCGTCCAGGTCTCCCCGAAATCACAGCTGTACAGAGAGCAACATACTGTTACAGTGGTACCTCGGGTTAAGTACTTAATTCGTTCCGGAGGTCCGTTCTTAACCTGAAACTGTTCTTAACCTGAAGCATCACTTTAGCTAATGGGGCCTCCTGTTGCTGCTGCGCCGCAGGAGCCCAATTTCTGTCCTTATCCTGAAGCAAAGTTCTTAACCTGAAGCACTATTTCTGGGTTAGAGGAGTCTGTAACCTGAAGCGTATGTAACCCAAGGTACCTCTGTATTAAGGTTGAAACTTAGAAAATATGTGAAACCACAGATATTTTAAAAGAAAATTCAATCAAAGTTGACAGCATGGTGGGACTTCATATATTTATGAGTTTGTGGTGGGAGGGAGTTCCTTCTAACCCCTGGTTCCAGCAAATGTTAAAACATAAGCCCAATGAGGTGATCGCCTGGGAGATGGGGCATTA